GCCTGCTTCCATCATCCCTGGCAAGTTTGGCTGTATGGGCAGCTGGGCTCGGAGTTGGAAAAGGTTTATCAATCTGTTTTTCTTTACAATTGCATCAGGCCGCAACAAGCCAAGACTTTTTTTATTCTCCATTTTTTTCCAGTCATCAAAAATTCCCCACCCCCTGGCTTTCTTTCGTTCTGACTGATTATCTGATATGTCAGTCGTGCCAGGGGTGTTGTCACTAGCGTCGGTATTAGTTTGCGGGTAGAGCTGCATCGGGACTCCGGGAACTGCCTTGGTGTGTGTGTGTTGTTCTCTCACATGCACACACTTGTGGTTTGCCGGAGGGGGGTACTCACGTCCCCTATTATCTTGGCTTTCGGGTTTGCTTTTCACAAAAAAGCTGTTGAGGAAACTCTCCGTAAAGGGGAAGGGAGGAGGCTAGCTAGCTTGGCCTTGGCTAGGGTACTTAAGGTAGATTGAGAAAATCAGATAAGCCAATTGAGCATTACACAAATCCCACGCACGGGCAACTATCCGTACACTACAAGCGTGACAAGGCAAAGCATTGGCACCAGCCGCTAGGAGACTAAAGGTACACACCGTCCACCGGCACTTGAAGGACCCGTCATGATGATCGCCAGCTCTATCTTCCAGACTAAGTAAAGTGATGTCTCTGGTGATGGTTGGTTGAACCACCCCCCATGCGCGCGTCCGCGCGCGCGACCAGAGTCGTTAGCAGCGTTTCCGACTGCTTGGCAAGACAGCATTTCGCGGCACATTCTAGTCTCCTAGCCGTCTAGAGGATGTACAACGAAGGCGGCAGTGCAACAATAGCTAGACAACATGGACCCTTTTTTTTTTCTCGAAGAAGGAAGAAGAAGAAAGTAAGTAATCTGACCGCCAAAAGACGCAATAGACAGCGGTTCGAATGCCAAGACATGTTCACGGCCTGCTAACAGAACATCGAGATATGTCCACGGATCATCATCTTCCGTCATCTCAACAAAACAAAAAAAAATAATAATCAAAATAGACAATCTTTGGTTGTTCATGAACTTTACGCCGCAGGCGGCCATGTCGCAAGATGGTAGAAAAAGCGCACGGATTCTAGGCTGAGTATTCTTAGAATAAATATTGAAGCGCAAGTCTACCATGGTAATCAAGCACCAAAAAAAAAGGTCCAAGGTGACACACGGTGAGAACGTTTCTGATTTTTTTCTTTCTGTATTGGGGTTGGACGGACGAACAATCAGTGCTCGTGCTCGTGCTCTCCGGGGGGGGGGGGGGGTGGAATTGGAGGCCGCCTCTTCTTGCAAGGCTGATCAATCTCTCCTCTATCCGATCTTTGGAAGAAGAAGCTGCTACTACTCATTTTACCACTTCACACGGATCTTCACCGAGTCAACAGAGGGGGGCCGCGTATCACGTTTTGTCTGCCAAGACCCTTGGTCACATGCCGTGGCACACACCAGATCACGGCTCGAGTCGATCCCCCTCAAGGCCTTGTCCTCCTCCGGGCCTCTCAGAGCATGACCTTTGAGCACGCCGCACGGTAATGGGGTTGGCTAGGCAGTTGGCAGATAGATAGCACGCATTCCAGCAGAGTCAGAGGCGTCATTAAAAAAAATGAGCCAAAGAACTCAGAAGTTGGGAGTGGTAGGGGGGCCAGGGCCAAGAAGCATGTCTTGAACTTTTTCTTCTTGTTTTACGGTTTTTTCTTGGATTACAGTAGCTACCGCATCCTTGGGTGGGACATGAGTGTCTCACATACCCAATCTAGAGGTATCTGGTGTATTTTTCTTTCTCTTTCTTCTCCCCTCTGTGCGTCTAGAGGTCGCCCGTGTCTCACACACGTGTTTCCTCATTCGCTTCTCTCTCGCGTCATCTCATCATCTCTTTTGGCTGACGTTTCTCCTGGGGATTGTAACCATCTAACTCCGATAGCCCGCATAAATGCTCTCCCGGGGGACGCGAGTGCGCGAGAGTGTAAGTCCGTACATGTAGTGGTGTCTTGGGACTATTGCAAGCGCCCCGCCTTGCCGATTTGTAATATCTCACCAGTGAGACGGTCATCACTGCGCAGGACAGGCCACGACTCACCGCCGGCCTTGGCAAGGTTCACCTCAAGTTTCGTGCCAAGCACCTTGAAGGTGGACTTTTCCGTATCGATTGGCGCAAACAGAGGTACCTCGGTGGTGTAGCGCTTAGGCGGCGAGTCTGAGGTGGGCAGGTCAAGTGCGATGGATTGCGACTTGAACTCGATCTTGGCCGAATCCTTGACGATCTTCTTGAGGAAGAAGGAGGCGATGACAGTGGAAGGGGTCTGATAGAAGTCGGTGCGGACTGTGTCGAGCTTCTCCTCGCCGCCAGCTGCCGCAGCGTTCTTCTTCTTGCCGCTTCCGATGAACAGGTGACGGCCCTTGGTCTTGCACCCCTCAATCTTCATAAACTGGTCAAACTCGAGAACACGGCGCTTGCAGCAGCTGTAGCCCTTGGAGCCCTCATGAAAGATGGGGACACCAGGGTGGTGAACGCAAGATTCGCCATCGCGCGATGAGGCCTTGCGGTAGGTGGCCGAACAGGCTTTACGACGGCAGGTGGTCCCTTCGGGGATCTCTAGGGATGCGTCGTCGGACTCGGACTCCGGGGGTGGAGGCGGAGGGGAGGGAGCGGCTGTGGCTTGGGAAAGGGGCTTGCGTGCCGGTTCCGCTGCCGATGCGAGCTTATCGAGGAGAGAGGGCGCGTCCGCGGGGTCCGCTTGGGGCTTCTGCTCGATCTTTGGGGGGAGGTCGGTTGTGGAGTGCTTGCCGGTTGTGCAGGGGGGGATGGCCATGAACTCCTCAAAGGTGAGGACACGGGGCTTGCAGCATTTCCAGCCTGTTTGGTACCGGTCAATGAGGTTAGCCGCGGTGTCTCGTGTGAAATGTTTCCAATGCGATCGATTGCGGTTGAACGGGGCTCATGGTAAGGGATGGAAGAGGTGCAATTGGACGAAAGAGGGGGAATCCCATGACATCCGCACGGGACAAGAACGGGAAGGACGCGTTCTCCATGGAGCATGGCGTAGCACTTGTGTAGAGTTTGTATGGTGATTGGGGGGTTCAGGAGTGAGTACCTTTCTGGCCTTCATGGAAGACGGGAGGACCGGGGTGGTAGACACAGGGCTCCTCAGCGTCAGAGTAGAGCTTGCCGCAGCCCTGGTGGACGCACTTTTCTGCCATGATGGGCTGGCGGAATGAGCTTATGCTGCTTGGCTTTCGCTACCGTTTTCGCGTGCTGAGGTGAGATGCAATCGAAGTTTGCTGGACACACAGTGAGTCTCCAAGGAATTGGAGTGGAAGGAAGGGAAAAAAAATTGTTAAGGATGAGCAAGATTCAAGATTGACGACGGGTGACGTTTGAGAATTGGTGTGGATGAAAGAGGCGGCGGGTCTGGCAGGATGTAAATTGTCGAAAGGAGCCCCCGTAAGCGGAAGTGGTGAGTGAGGGGTGGTTGTCGTCGATGGAGGGGTTGCTATGTTCTCCAGGATTCCAGAATTTCCCAGGGGTCGTCACTGCGATTTAGCGGCTCAAAATTATGCATGTTGGGCACAAGCTCCGGCAAATCTTCCTGCTGATTCGCCGGAGATGGATAACGAGGAGTGGGGTGCGGCTGCTTCGACATCTTGACCGCCTTCCCAAAGAAGAGGCTCGTAATGTGACCACATTCGGCAAGAATTGACCGAAGACAATGACAGGTTACACCCGGCCTTGTCCTTGCAGGCTCAGAGTTGCAAGTCGGCCGGGGTGGAAGTTCAGTCGGAAACTTCAAACTTACGACCCAAAAAAGACCAGACATCTTCAGCCCACATTTTTACCTTTTTTGCCCATTTCATCATCATCATCACAAGACGGGCTGGGACGAGCATCAATTTTGCTTTTCTCGTGGCGGATCCAATCATTCAATCAATCGGACTATTTCGAAACGATAACAAACGGGCGTTTCTCTCCACACCTTCGCAACTGGCAGACATTGGCAGATCACATCATCTCACTTTGATCCTCACAGACATATATCAAATACGGCCACAGACGTTGTACGCCCCTTCAACTCAATCCCCAACACCGACCTACCCTGATCCCTGGTATCAATCATCATATTTGGCAATCCCATCCTTTCTCTCCCCCCCCCCCCCCCTTCCATCTTCCCTTCCCAGCTGACCGAGAACGAGGCTGTTTCACAGCCTCCGAGCCTTCTTCCTTCTCCCAGTTCGAGCGCTTGCTGCGTCCTCACACTTTTGTGGTGGTATAGACGTCAGATTTCGAGTTGATCGCGAGACGTCCAAAGCAGACTTGCAATTTGATCTGCAGCAATTATAAACATGTTTGCACCAACAAGACGTTTATTCCAAAAGGTCCAACCATGTCGGATCACCCTCTTCTCCCGCGATGAGTGCGGCTTGTGTGTGCGGGCCAAATCGGCACTTTCCAACGTTTGGGATCGCCGACCTTTTGCTTACACGGAGGTTGTGATCACGAAGCCGGAGAATAAGAAATGGAGGGACCTCTATGATTTCGACGTGCCCGTGGTAAGTTCATCCTTCTTCCCTTGCCGCGTGGGATGAAAAGGAGGCCATCCGATGACGCACATCCACCTTCGCAAAAGTTTCCTGCAAAAGTGAGCCTTTCAACCTTTCTAATCCGTTGGCGTGCGCCCCTTTACCCCAGATCCACATCAGCAAAGCCGAGGCCCCTGAGGAGGATGTCAAACTCGTGGGCAAAGCTGTCAAGCTCATGCATCGATTCGACCCAGATCAGATCGAAGCCAAGATGGATCAAGTAGAGGGAGGAAAGTAAAACTCTGTGAAGATTGTCTTTTTTGATTCATTTAGAACGGCCGCAGCGTTGCTTGGCTCATAGGAGGTAGCCAGCGGGCGAGCCAAGAGTTCGATCAACCAAGCAGCACAGCCTACTCATCTACCATATTCGATACCCTTCTACTCTCGAGAATCTCTAGGCATCTCCTACGGCGTCATTCAGTACGATCCACCCTTGGCCGGCTTCGCCCCTCCCCTGGCTATGCTCAATGACTCCGATACTGTGTACTGCAATGCCGTATAATCCGTCGCCACGCTAATCATGTCGAATCCCTTATCCGCGAAGAACTTGGACTGCTCGCCGCTCGTGCAGAAGATTCCAGCCTTCTTACCCGCCTTGTGCGTCGCCTCCAGGATGCGCTCAATAGCATCGCTCAGCTCCTTTTCGATGACGCCGTTAATCACAGGGTGGCCAATATTGTTTCCTATGGTGCCGGTCAGCTGAGATTGTTCAACGCCAAGTGAAGAAGAAGCCCGAAGTGCATGGCTCAGGGGATTGCATGTACTGACCAAGATCAAAGGGACCAATGAAGAGCGCGTCGATACCCTCCACCGCCGCGATCTCGTCGATGGACTCGAGAGCCTCCCTGGTCTCAATCTGGACAATCGTCAACAGGCTGTCGTTGGCCTGCTGCAGGTACTCCGTCATGCTGGGGGCCGGGCTGAAGCGCTCCATAGCGAGAGGCGAGCCGAACCCACGTCGTCCCCACGGCGGGAACTTGGCCGACTGCACCAGGTCCTTTGCCTCCTGAGCGGTCCGGAGCAGCGGCACGAGGATCTTTTTCAAACGTCAGCCAAGATTCTCTCTTTGAGAACACCGCATATGAATGAAACATTCTCTCTGTTCATATGAGGGTTGTCTGCTTACCCCATGAGCTCCGCAATCCAAAGCACCTGGCAATGTTGTTAGTCTGATTTACCCTAATCATGAAAAAAGGAGTATGCCCTTACGCTTCACCATCCAACTCTGCATATCCGGCAACCTCACAATGGGAGATACACCAGCAGCAGCAATGGCAGGGACGGCATCATGCATGGCGCCATCTGGGAAGTGGGACACCAACAAGTCAGCTTTCTCATCATAATCCTCGAATTCCAGCGTCGAGGTTGCTCGGATACAGCATTTAAACTCACCGTCAATGTTCCCATGCTCGCAATCGACCAAGACCCAATCGACGCCGGGACTCCGGGCAAGCACCCGCGAGACGTTGGCGCCGGGAATCATCTGCCACAACCCGAAACTGGGGCCGGCACCCTTGGTGAAGGCCGTCCGGAGTTTGTTGGCCGCTTGCATCGCCGACATTCTTGTATGGATGTGTGTATATGAAGTGGTAAATTGACGAATTATAATGATTCCGTTTATGAAATTTGTAGGTGGCAACAGTTCTTGTGCGACGTCAGATACAATCTTTTGTTTCTTTTCCTCCTAGCAGGTTTACTATGATCAAGCACCAGAATCGGCTCATGATGTGAACCAACCCCCCCAAATGTGTCACCCGCGCCTTATGTCAGATACGCGTAGGGTGTCTGGTCTGGTGCGGGGGTGGTTTACTGATACTTCGGGGGGAAAGCCGGCCGTGGCGCCCCATTCTACGTATGCACGCGGATTATACATAGATAGAGGCGGGCCGGGGGATGGTAAAGCGGGTTCTAAGACAGGAACTCGGTCCATTCCCACCATAGTATCCGTACTATGGGTAGAAAAGATCCACGAGACGGAGATATTCAGGCGGCGGGGTAATCGTTGAATGTGATTGGGGGTTATTGGTCTATCAGAGCTACCTTACCCATGGAGGAAACGTGGGGGAAGAGGTGCCCGGGCGGGGCTAGCCGAATTCCCGATTCCCACGACCTCACCTCAGCAAGCTCCCCCCATCAGGTGCTTGCTACCTTGGGTATGTCACGCAAGGTATGTAAGGAGAGGTACCTGCGTAGATATGTGCGTGCAATCAGTCCAAGCTTGTGACCTTCAAAACAACATCACAAAGAACACAAATCTTGTCACAATTCAGACTTTCGAGATTTCAACCTTTCGCTGTCCAAGAAATGACCACTCCAAACCCCTACCCGGGCGACATTGCGTGTGCTCGTAGCTTTGCTCTTTTTTTTATTTCGTTGAATGTGGGATATCAACAGCTTATTGTACAACTTTCGAGAACCCAGATCTGACGCTGCGGATCGCAAAAAACGCGCCGGCCATATACGATGTGGGCATGCGTATGCCCTCTTTTCTCTCTCCAAACTTTTCTCTATCTTTGGCTTCCCGGATGCAGATTGGTCAGCGTAGCGATGTCTCGTTTATGGCCCGAAGACGACTCTGGATACTTTCGTCTGGGCCTTGTCCAAAAGGATTGCTCTGCGCGGTAGCAACACTTGTTGCCATAGACGACCAAGAATCCACTCGCATAGAATGTCGAATACCCACCTCTCGCCGACCAAAGTCTGTATAGGTCGCGTTGGGCGTGGTCGTTCGTGGCCCGTCTCCTTGCTCTTTCCCATCGTGGGTGACGTTTAGTCCTGGAGGCAGCTTTTGCGCGGATTTGTAAGTGAGACCCAATCATGGCTTCGCAGATATCAACATACCCTAAATAATCCTCCTTGATGCTGCCAATCGCCCACATCTCGCCAACTTCTGTGCGCGTACCAATCACCTTGACACGCACGTGGGTTCCTGGCTCAATGATGGTATCCTCATTGTTGGTGAACTGCGGCGGTGTCGCATTGGGATCCCATTTGATCTCGGACGGGATCAGCTGGTAAAGAAAGGGCAGCGGTTAGTTATCGACGAAAGGTACTGCCTGGCCAGCGCGGAAGCGAGAACCTACATGTGCCGACACGAATAACCGCAGAGGTCCCGCCTGGGCGAAAAAGCCCTGGTGGTTGACTGAGTAGACCACAGCATCAACCTGGGTTCATGTCAGAAGCCGCTTCCCCGACAAAGCCAGGCAGATTTATAGCAATTACCGTCTCGCCCTTGAAGGGTCGCCAAACCACGGCTCGGTATCCCACCGTGAACTCGGCCAGGCCACTGCCTGGAAGAATGCGACCCTCGGAAATATCGAAGGTATCCATGATGGAAATGATGTAGTAACTCCCTGCGCAGGTGCCTTCCACGTCCTTCAGCAACTTGCTCGTCACCAGCTCGTGCATGTTCCGGCCAAAGTAGGAGGGATGCAGGGTGACCCTGCGCTCCATGTTGTAGAGGAAGAACATCGTGGCGGTTTCCGAGGCGCAGAATGCTCGAAGGAGAGAAGTGGATCGTCGTCGTGTCGTCGTCAGCGATGTTGGTCGTGTCCTGCCTCCAACAACGCGTCGGCGCGTTATTAACCCAAGCTCTCCGTATTAAATGCGACTAATTCTGGTGCTCGTATCGGCGTCGTATCAATGGGTCCGGTATTGAGTGGCACGATTGGCAGCGTGGGGTGAAGCAATAGATGGCCGACTTCCAAATGCAGACCGGTGAGTAGGGTCAGAAGTCGCGAGCAAGCTGAAGCTAGAGGGTTGCAACGCGCGACACGCCTCCGAGAAAGAAAATACACAAGGACGAAGTAAAGGAGAAGCGCGAGGAATCGGGATTTGGACGGATGTTTCCTCTGTGATGCGCTGTAGGAGATGCGCCGCCAGCGTTGAGACTCGACGGGTAGTGAGCGGAGAGGTTGTCCTGAGATGAACCTGACGAGGCTGAGATGGCCTTGTTACGGCGAGAAGTGGCTCCTGAATTTTTTGGCCTGCGGGCAGCCACACCTACATATGCCCCAGGCAGGAAAAGTGGGATTGGCAGGAGCTCAAGCCACACCTTTCACTTTGTACTGCCGCGCTTGCGCTAAAGTACTGCGCTAGCGCGGAAGGCCTATGGCGGAAAGGTCGTCGCTCCGAAGCCGGGGTAAGCGCGATGTTCGGGACGGGAACCTACCTATGGGAGGCAGGTGCGACTTGAATAGTGACAAAATGAGCGACAAACCCGATTCGTGGATTGCGATGATGGAAAGTGCACTGTCAGATGCCAGCAGGATGCAACAAGTGGCGCCATTCGGACCGCGGATATGAGAGCCCAGCCCAAATGAGTTGGAGCTGGCGTCGTAATTTGGGCTTGCGGCACAGATCACACATGGAGTCTATCTAGTTATCCAACAAAGACTCTAAAAGTGGCCAGCCTAACGTTTTGACATCCGGATGTCCTTTAAGCTCAATCAGAAGAGTCAGGTATAAGCCTCCCCAGCCTCCGACACGCTCACACGACAAATGCGCGACGTTAGATTGGGCGGAGGAAGTCAGTCGTATGTTGGGTGCATGCACGTTTAGTGATTTTTAGTGGACTCGTTCCCCCCAAAATCTCCAGTCAGAAGCCGCCGTTGTGGACCTTGTCGCTTCCAGGACTGCTGGAAATCTAGCGGACTCCCTACGAACTCCCTGAACCGGAGAGCAAAAACGCGCTCCCAGCGGGCCCCACGGGTACTTGCACCACAAAGGTTCGGCGGAAGGCAAGGTAACTCGACGTGCTTGGGTGGGACACATATGAACACCATTGCAACCCTGTCCGGAACACGACGGCATTCCCTCAATTTCCATCATTCGCAACGACACCAACATCACCAGCTCTTTCCCCAGTCGCCCATAGTGCATCCACGACTTATCTAATTTCCGGAATCAATACGATCGTTCCAGAGTGCACCGCAATCAATCCATCCGGTCCGCTCACGCTCCAACTGTTGCCGATCCGCCCGCGGCTGAGCCTCGACCCTGCAGCCAGCCTCGTCTTGGTGCATCTATCCTGCAACAAACCTCGGCTCTCAGTCCACCACATCGCTCTTGGCTTAGGTCCCAGCACCCTCTCATCTCATTCACCGCCATCATGTCTTTAGACCTGGAAAAACACCTGACCTTTGTTCGTGAACTACCTGGCTTTCCGGAGTTCGTCGTCAGTATGGTTGCTAATGAGCTCACAGTATGGTGCATACCACCATAATACCGTCAACATCGGCATTCACATGGCATGTGTGCCCATCATCTTGTTTTCCGGATTTTGCCTTGTAAGCAATCAGTGAGATGTAACTCGAGTCTTTTCACCTGAGCTCATACAGACTTCCCCAGGCCACCAACACAGGAACTCTCATTCCACTCCCTAGCTGGCTCACCGTCCCTAATCTAGATCTCAACTTGGGGACACTGGCAGCCCTGACTTGGGGTGGTCTGTATGTTCTTCTCGAACCTGTCGCCGGCACGCTGCTGGCCGTCATTTGCTTGGCCGCCACTGCCGCTGGCAACCACTTCAGGGTTGAGAACCCTACCTTGACGAACCAGGCCGCCATCGGCATCCACATCGCCTGCTGGATCTTCCAATTCGTCGGGCACGGCGCTTTCGAGGGACGCGCGCCGGCGCTGTTGGACAACCTGGTTCAGGCTGTCTTCCTGGCCCCTCTCTTTGTTTGGCTTGAGTTCCTCTTCAAGCTTGGGTACCGCCAGGAACTCAAGGGCCGCGTTGACAAGGCCGTCGAGAAGGAGATTGCCAAGTTCAGAGCCTCCAAGGCGAACGGCGACGCCAAGAACGGAAAGGCCCAATGAACTTTTCACAGACCAGCCGATGACAAAACACTTACTCGGTCTTGCGATGCAAATGCCAACCAAACTCACACACCTATCGGAAACCAGACTACAAGCGCTAGCCCAGCGCTTACTACTCCACCTACTTACCTACCCCTGAGAGAGATGAGCGAATTTAAGGAGGCTGAGAAGCCATCACAGGGAGGCTACGGACGAACAGAAGAGACATTGAAGGATTAAGGCCCCACGGCATGGAAGCATTCGGGCAGGAGCCATCACTTCACAGGCGGAGTACTTTCATCAGATACCAATTTGAGCTTACGCGTATACAGATTGTCAGTCGTTGGATCTGTCACCGGCCGAGTTACGATACTTTATGGTCGGAAAGGAGTTTCCTATTCGGACCCCCTTTTGCGCGTTGCTTGCTTTCGGTTATCGTGTTCTTCTTATTTTTTTGGAAAGGGGAAGAAGCCTCTATTTGTCCATGTCAATTAACAAGGAAACCGCTCAAAACACATACATAGTTCAACAAACATGAAGCACTCACTCACCAAATCTCATTCGTCCTCTCTCTATCTCGTCACGTCGTAACATACACCTAAGAGTGGTCATCTCTCCCTCTTTCTACCTTGCGGGCGTCACAACACACAAAGGACTGAACGTCAGAACGAGCGTCAGAAACAACTTCGCGGCGGGTGCCTCTCCCCTAATGGGTCACATCGTCTCGGCGATCCTTGTTACCAAACGGGTTCCAACCGCCCTTGCGCTTGCCACTCTTCTTTGACGCCTTCTCCGGCTCCGGCGAAGGCGGGGGCGTGGGACGTCGTTGAATACTCGGCTCCTCGGGCCACGGCGCGGCTCGCTCCTCTCGGTAGCTGTTAGCCAGTTGCTTCATCTCCCTGCCCCGTCTCACGGCGATGGGTTGTCTGGCCGGTGATGGCCCATCGGCTGCCTTCATGATCCTGATGGCCTCGTCAGCGGCTTGTCTAGCCGAGGCGGTGCCTCTGCCGTAGTGGTTCTCCTTTGTTGGTCGTTCATATGCGCCCTCTTCTGAACTTTGGCTCGTTTGGTCGTATGAGTTTCGTCCTGTTCGCTCCTCCACCCGTCGTCTCTTTTTTTCTTGTGGGTGTCGTCTCCATTTGTCTTCTGAGCATCGTCGCTTTTGCTCTTGTGAGCGTCGAGTTGATTTGCTGATCGGGCTACCGGTACTGGTTACAATGGGCATACGTCTTCCGGGTATGACGGGAGGTTCCATTCTCCTGCGCTTCTTTCTGGTGGTCTTCTTATTTTCGGGCACCGGTGGAGGAGGAGGTGGAGGCGGAGGCGGAGGAAACATATTCTTGGAACGGAGCCGTGGATCCTGATACCCCGGATCCCCGCGAGTGTCCCCAACCGAAGCAGCAGGAAAGGCAGGAAGAGCGGGCAGAGGCCTATCAGCGTAATCTTCGCTCCCGCCAGCAACCACAGCATCACCGCCGCCGCCCTGAAGTCGAGCAGCCTCTTCCATTTCCCGCTTCCTCAGCCCCTCCTGGTAGTCCTCCTGGATCGACCAGTAATTCGTCCGCATCTTTTCCTCCTTTTTATCCTGTTCCTCCTTACGCCGCCGCGAGGCCGCCAGCGCCGCGGGCGTGAGCTTCTCGCGATACTTGTTCGTCGTGGTCGTACTAGTGACCATGCCCTTGGTGGCGATCCCGGTCTCCTCGGCGGTACGGCACTCTGGGCAGACCACGTTGGGCCAGACGGTGTTGTTGACGCGGAGCTCGCTGCAGGGCTCTTCCGGGGCGTCGCCAAAGAAGAAGAGGAGGACCGGACGGAAGCACCAGCCCGCTCGCTGGCGCCATGTCTTGCGGCAGGTTACGCGTTTTCGTTCCTGGTGCTGGCATGTGTAGATTGTTTTGGCGAAGCACATTGTTGCTACGCCTACTGGGTGAAGTTGCCTCTGATGGCGAAGGTGATGCTGGCTTTCGAGAGCCGAGTATGTCCACTTACCACGGGAGAGTCTTCTGTTATGTCAATTGTTGTGATATAAGTGATATAAGTGATTTAGTTGCTTTGGCCTGTCCTCAAGAGCTCTGGGTTCTCTCTCGTTCAGGACACTTCTATATAGCTCTGTCACAATCTAGGTCTTCCACGCAATCAAAGAATATCGACAAAGGATGAGCATAACAGTTGTTGCAACTCTTCATTCACAATAATGCGCACAGCCGTTGTGTGGCATACTCCCTTTGTTTCTGTAGCCTCGAACAAGAGATTCGAAACTTTTGACACAATACACACAAAAGCCTTTGGAAACTTGTATCTCTTCACAATCTGAACTTGCTGTAATAAGTGCAGACAATGGCAGGTAGTCTTGCATACGACTGTGACTTTCCTTCATAACTTGATTAATTGAGCCATTCGTATCTCAACTTTACCTACTGCCAAGGTATTAACTGACTCAACTCGACCTTGACAAACAATTCTGGTTCTTCTGGAATCTTGCTTCCCGTCTCAAACTCGAGGCAAATCTTTAGCTTACCACATTTACTATAATACATGTAGCTGACTTTGGAAACGAACAAGCGCCACTAATACTACATGACATGCTTACAAGCTTGTCGGTTATTGTAGATGAAGACTTCGCAAGATTACATAACCAATCCTCTGTAATTAACCAAGACCCAAAATGATAATAGTCCTTTATTTCGAACAAAGATCTCCTCAAGTTTTCTCTTTCGTCAATCAAAAGTCTCTCTTCTAGTTGTGAAGAAGACCAATAATCATGAAATATGTAATGCCCAAAGCGGCAGTTTACTTCCCTCAGTCGCGTCCTTTCAGCGTTCCTTATATCGTTTCATAATTCACATAGTTAGGCTTACAGTCATTTTTGGATTACACTGAGAAAGGTTCGGAAAGTTAGGTTGTTTCTCGAAAATCCTACTGGTGCCGGTCGAAGTCTCTGGTCACCTTTTACCTTACCTTCCCGCCCTATGATAGTCTATCTTAATAACAGCCTCCCAGACAGATCTAGATGTGTTTCCAGCTCAAAACACCCCAAGTTCGTCACAGCCGTTCAGTCAAATCTAGCTGCATATATCTTCATTGTGTATGCCAGCATGTCTCACCGAGTGACAATTGGAAGACTTCTCAAGAAGCCGATACACCACCACCAACACAAACTCCAGATGCAGCAGAGATGGAGCAGGGCCATTTAGATCTCGCCTGCGACAAAATGTCCAGCCACTATCACAACCTTGCCCATGATCAACCCGGGCAACATACAATGGAAGACCATTCGCTACTCGGCGCACACGATTCCCGGATTCTCGACCTGGTGACGTACGACAGAATGAGAGGGGAAGTCCAGCTTCCAAGAGCGTCCATACCAGGTCCCCGACGCTTCGCGATCTCCACTGAGTTGCCCAGCGGCGCAAAATGGGCTGTCGAGGATCGTCATGAGCAGCTGACCATATGGGGTGATGAATGGAAAAGAGTGTGGGAGAAGAAGTCAACAGACCCAGCGCGGCGAAGCAATCTCGTCCATGCGCCTGTATGGTGGCAGAAGGCAGGGAGATATACAGACGCGTGGATCGACGAGAGAACGAGGATCGTCATCTATCAGAAGATCGATGGCACTTTGAGGATATTTCAACCCTTGCGAGAAGGGATCACCGCGTCGTCACACATCTTCTTTGGCTATACGCCGAGAAGAGGTCATGTGGCCCTCTGGTTCTTGCCAAAGACCCCTTCGAACCTTCGCCGGTTGCCCAAGATCGTACGAGAAAGCGGAACGCCTGAATCATCTCATCACACTGGGCACACCGAGACGGGTTGTGACGCACGCCGAGATATTGTTCGACATGCCGTCTATGGGAGATCAATGACTGGGTGGAAGTCTAATTGTGAGACTTGTTTCCTGAGGAGATCTGATTCCAACGAGGTGAGACCTTTGGCTGAGGAGATGGAAGCTCTGATGCGTCTCGTAGATGATGCTAGGTTCGCGATGTTTCCCACTACCGAGAAGGGTGCTCAGAAGCAACCGAAAGTTTGCAGAGGAGACGCCAGGGATGAGATGTTCGTGATTGCGGCAAGACACACCGGGGAGTCACGTAAGGCTCGGCATCCTCCCCCTCCAGATCGAGATGATCTCTCCAGTCGTTCACGAACCAATAGTACGCTCGACGCATCAAGCCCCCGCTCTTTCTCAACAATCACAACAAGGAATGAGATGTCCTCGTCCCGGAATGACGAGCAAGTGCTCACCGGGCTTCACTTGGTTCAACGCCATCCTCGACCAGACGTTTCGGTGGTTGTGGGACCGCATCCCGGAGCCCGAGGGAATATTTCTCGAGTCTTTTGTCATCCGGGAGCATCAGGTTCAGAAGGGGCTGGGCCGCCCTTCGCACGAGAGGAGATGGACCATCACCGCGTAGCGCCCAACGACCACGAGGCAAATGGCCGCGCTCATCGCAGGCTGCGCACCAGCGACGAGAAACGGACCCACGTGCGGCAGCAACACGAGGAATTACGGGAGAAACATCCCAAGCTCGGGCAGCGTCGGAGGATTGAGATTGGCGAGGAGGAGGAGGAGAAGGCGGGTTCGCGTCTGGGCATTGCGGGACGCAGCCAAGACCGGCGTGACCAGGAGCAGCGGCGCCACGAAGAGGGAGGGATGACCCGCAGGCGAAGGATTCCCGGGGATGGCAGTCGGAAGAAGCTTGTATTTTCTGCTGCAGTCCCCGCTCGCAATCGCTTTCCCACGAACCCCGTCAAAGGCTCCCCAGGCCAGGTCGTCGGAATGTCTCTGGGCCCTTCCAGCCCGGATGCCGGCAACGAAGATCGGCGGTCTGAAAGGAGACCCGGCAGCCTGCTGCATGAACAGGAGATAATATCGGTATGGGAGGCTCGGCAGGAGACGCTTGCTGCATTGGAGGGAAGAAGCTGAGATTTTGCTTGCTACATCTACTATCAAACTGCGTGCTTCGCGAGTGAGCGGCCGCCAAACCGTCATCTGTCTAGAGTAGTAGCCTTTGCTTAATTTGGATAATGGTCACTGTGAAGGAGGGTGAAAGACATTATTTGTCGGTTATTGCGGCAGGGATAGATGAGTATGGATATGCAACATCCGCTTGGTGACCTCCTTTTAGTTGTCTCTCAGTTGACAGCCGTGTGGCAGCAACCGAAGTGACGTTACAGCTGTCAAGCCAGACATGTTCCATGGCGGCAAGTTGAGTTGAGGTTGCTGCCTCCACCTACGTATGAGCAAGATGTCTCTTCTCTTCGAATGTCCTCAGATTGTGGAAAATTCCCTTTGTTGGTGACGTGCTAACATGACGTGCGAGGTCAGCCTTCATTCCTCTCAGAATATCCCTTCTTCATGCAAAGTGGTGTTGGATGTTGAATTTGGCGGAAGAGACAAGTGAAAAGAACAGCCATCCGTCTCAAAAAACTTGGCAGGATTCGGACGTGGCTTGCGACAGACCGATACGGAAGGTTGATTCAGCCTCCTAGATGCCTGCCCCGTATTTCATGTCCCTCATTTTATTATCCGGGCTGGATATGGCTTGGTGCCAACAAAGGCGGAGCCCTCCTACCAAGAGCGAATTCGACATATGCTCGAGAAATACCTCAGGCAAGTCAAGCCAACCGACACAGCCCCACGACCACCCATTGCGGCTCGTGACGATTCTCAATGTCTCGCATCTAAGATGGCGAGCTATGGCGTGAGAGGCGGAAGGAGTTATTATTCACAACTTGACTCGGTCAGAGTGAAAAATGTGTCGTGTCGGCCCGCGACCGCCTCTTGCCAAGGATGAATTCTTGGGCATGTCAGATGGCGGAAGCCTGAAGCGTGATTCGACAGACTCGTTGGTGAGACCAGAAATCTTGCCCTAGATAAGTTGTCACTTCTCAAGTTTACTTCAGCTCTAGGCGCCTATGTCTAGGCGGCTAAAACGGGGTTGGGCGGGAATGCAAGCTCCCGTTAGGGAGAGCGGGAAAGGAGGCAAGTTGAGGCTAAGAGGCTTTGGGAGGCTGAGACAAAATAGACTTATTGTTTTTCTCTCCTAACAACCTCCTACGTAAGAATTTCTCCGACAATCATCACGATTGTATCCACTCATGTATCCTGCGGACGAAAGCAGAAGTTGCAGCAAAGGCCAGGCGGAGAGACAATTGCAGTAAGAGGCTCGACAGCCATCTTCTCAAGAGGATATCCTGACAAGCGGGCTCCATTGATCATCTCCTGTTGATCGTTTCGGGAGGGGGCAACTTTCCTTGGACGCTGCCGGATATTGAAGAGCCACGCCGTAACATCACATCATCCGAGAGGTAGTGTGGTATGTGTTCCTACCGGTGATCGGCGGCGGGAGCAACGGCGGGCGAAGAATGAGCTGACTCTGATCACGACAATTCCCCCCGCAAACGTCACTAGGCCTTCGGCCGAGATGTCCTGCAGTTGTCTCATCGGAGGGTATGGGTGGATATGGGGATTCGCGCCTTTCCGTGACGGAGATCGGGTCTGGGCGGAAATTGTGAGCCCCCGTGGGACTCATTCCCGCAAGCCGTTCGCAGATGAGAGGCACCAATGAGGAAGCAAGGAGAAAAGATGCCACGATCCTCCCACCGGTGGATATGTCTCACATTTGAGTTATCCATCAGAGACATGACAGGACGGATCTAGTAGCGCGCTGGCTGGAGCGATGGTCAGCGATTGGTTGACTCTGGCGGGAGGAAGCTGTCAAAGGCGCTTGGCCTCAGACTTCCCGCCCTCCCTGGACCGCCTTGGCCCTAGGAGCCAAGGAGCCTAGCCTTTCGTGCCCGCCCAAGGGTCCCTCTTCATAGTTGGCTCGGCGTCAGGTTCCGAAGCGAAACCTCTGTGATGGGCCTCTGCGGGAAATGTAGCCGTGAACTTCACGAGACTGTCACGCTCAGCAGGGGATCAACGTGAACAACACGTTGAGGATTCCTTGCGACCTTGGCGCTGATGTGGGCCAGTCGAAGGCAAAGTCGACGAAGACGGAAGACAGACTGACTGCCCCTCGACGACGACGACGACGACGCCGACGACGATGAAGAGACAGCTCGCCATAATCCCTCAGGCCGTCGACAACTCAAATTCATTATAAAAGACCTCGTCGTCCGCCGTCCAGATCGTAATATCTCCTCTCTCATCATCACACCGCGCCTTCACTACAGGATAGTCAGCCGCTTCAACTCTCTCAACTCTCAAGTCTTCGGATCACTCACTACCACTTCTTCTTCAAACCAATCCCCCTTTTCTTCGGAAACCCCAACCATCAAAATGAAGTCCGCTGTCGTCCTCACCACCCTCCTGGCCTTCGCCGTCGCCAACCCCGTTGCCATTGCCAACGTTGACAACACCAACGCCATCGCCAAGCGCAATGTCGAGCTCGAGGCCCGCCAGCTTGGTGGCATCGACCTCAGCAGCCTCCCGGGCTTGAGCATCTTGCAGGGTCTGGGCCTTCCCGGCCTCTCCAACCTTCCCATCAACCCGAGCAACGTTGTCGGAATCCTCACCGGCCTCTTGGCCAGTGTCCTCAGCGTTGTCGGCAACATCCGTAAGTGAACCAAGGGCTTTTGGATCGAAGCATGGCAACTAACAGCTCCGAAAGGCCAGGGTGTTCCGGGTATCGGTGCCATTCCCGGCCTTCCTACCATCCCCACCCTTCCCGGCGTCTCTACTCCCGCCATCCCCACCGGTGCGATCAGCGCCGAGCAGCTCACTGCTTTGATCGGTGCCCTTCAGGCCCAGGTCGCCAACGCCACCGCCATTGGCTCCAGCCTCCCCGCCGGCCTCAGCTTGGCCCAGCTCCAGCAGATCCAGACCATCATTGCCACCATCCAGGCCCAGATTGCCCCTCTCGTCTCTGGCACCGGTCTTCCTTCCCTTCCCGGTGAGTACTGCCTATACCAGTTATCCTTGAATATCAGCTAATACAGCTAACTAGGCGTTCCTACTGGCGGTCTCCCCGACCTTGGCGGCTTGACCTCCGGCCTCGGTGCTCTCTCCGGCGTCCTTAGCCTCGTCACCGGCCTTCTCGGACCCCTCCTCGGTGGTCTTCTCGGTGGTCTCGGCGGCGGCCTCCTCGGTGGCCGTGCTTAAATTCGAGAATCGTCGCAGGCCGGTAACTCATTCGGGCAGGTACTCTGCAGCCACGGAACTGCACACCCATGACGAGTTTCGGCATAATTGACAACGCCCCGTCGGCTTGTCGACCGGGCTTCTCGCAAAGCACTTTTTCCACAATCACTTCACCCACAACTTCCAGCATGCGGTTTGCATAACACCAAAAAGTTTCCGAAGACTTTAAGAGGAAAGGACTGGAACGCAAGGGATTTAGCGGTGATCATTCAACATCAATCGGGGACTTTGAACTTTGTTGCGGGCATATGGCGAGTCCTAGCGGCTCCTTTTCGCCTTGCTTAATCTTTTGTCTTTAATCATTTCTTACCAACCTAGCTTCTCTTCTACATGTCCCCCAGGACAACACAATAAAAACTGTCGATCCTTATGACTTATCGTCTCTCACAGCGATGCTCTCTATGAGTGGATAGTACCGAACAGCCGCGCAAAAATCGATAAAATATGATTGTTTCGTAGGACCATGCCTAGCATACGAGCTCAGACCGACAATGACTCCAGTTTACGACGAAGAGGCATATTGAAAATGGGCAAGATTGACTTCGAGCTTCGGTTTTATCCATCGAGAGCCAAAACTTGGTAGTTCGCTGATCAACGCGGTTTGGGTTGCAAATGACAATGATTTGCAAACGAAGGGATGAATAGGCGAAAGTTGAGATGAACGTCTTTGGTCGTTGCATTGGATGCATACTCTCCGCTAATCGAATAGCCTGCCGTACTATCGGGCTACTTGCGATGAATGCATATCGGGGGGTCCAAAGAGGAGCCAATGCGAGGTAGTGGATACCCGATCTATCTGTCTCCCCTCCCCCACACACCTACATCATCCATCGAAGCCTTCTCTGCGATCGATGAACCGAATTCGCTATCTTTCAGCTTGGACCGGCATCCAGCTTCGTTTTTTTACCTTTGAACTCTCTGACGTCAGCCACTCACTCGCACAGCCTGCGGCGGGCGTTTGCTTCCAGGGGGAGCACGGCGGCACGCTGGGCAAGGGTACAGCATTGCCGCTGTCGTTTCTGCAAGCCCCAGACCTCTGGCTCTCCCAGTCATGCAAGCCTCAAGTCTGCAGGGACCTTACTGCCCAGCCGTTTCCAAGAAATCCCAAGAATCGCAAGCCAAAGATGACCAGACGATGCCTGACGCGAACCCCACGCCGCCGCGTCTATCTGGTCAATCTCTGCTCTATCTGAAATCCAGAACAGCGGGACGCAGCGGGTCCTCTAGCATCATCCATCAAGACGCGGTGATCGAGACCTCTCGTTCTTGACTCGAACGTTTTTCTCATATCATCTGTCTGTTGATTGTCTGATCGGGAAGGTTCCCTAGGATAAGCCGGTGGAAGAGCTTTCCGAGTCCTACGCTGTCCGAATGCGGGTTGCAACGTCGGTGGTGAACAAAGCTGCCAAAAAGCGTGGACAATCTTAGTCACCACAAGTCCAGCCCAATCCACGGTGATAGGTATCACATGAACGGCTGGCTGCGCGTGTTCTTGAGTGCCTCCGAAACGAG